ACCGAGGCTGCGGGCTCTGGAACATTTTCCAGGCTGGATCGGGGCTGTGGCTGCAGCTCTGGGCTCAGCTCCTGGCAGAGCCGGTCCCGCTCTCCCTGGGGCCATTCCAGCAGAGCCGCTGGAGTTTTCCCCCGGAGCTGCTGAGGCCGCAGATTCCTTTGTCCGGATAGATCCCTCACCCCGGATCTGACCCTCTGCCCAGGCTCCCACGTCAGCCGGGAGGATTTCCCAGCACAGAGGGGTGGAAGGGAACGGGGCTGTGGGACACAAATCCCTGAAACTGCTGGAAAAAATCCCTTGGGTCGCTGCAGCCCCACCTGCCTGGGACCTGCTCAGGGAGAGAGGTGGGATCACCTTGTGGGGTCACCTCCAGCCCGTCCAGGGGCTGCCCTGTCCCACATCCCAAATCCTTCCTCCTGCAGGATTTGGGATGTGGGAATCACCCTTTCACAGCCCTCCAGGGCCCTCCTGAAGGATTTGGGGTGTGGGAATTGCCCATGGGACACAGAACATGGGACACGAAACATGGGATACAGGACACAGGACACGGGACATGGGACGTAGGACACAGAGCACAGGACACGGGACACGGGACACAGGACATGTGACATGGGACATGGGACATGGGACACGAGACATGGGACATGGGACGTAGGACACAGGGCACAGGACATGGGACATGGGACATGGGACACGGGACATAGGACACAGGACATGGGACACGGGACACAGGACATGGGACACGGGACACGGGACATGGGACATAGGACACAGGACATGGGACGTAGGACACAGGACATGGGACACGGGACACGGGACATGGGACATGGGACACAGGACACCGACCGTGTCCCACGCACCTGGAGAGCATTGCAGTGAGATAGGCCATGGACAGGGTCTGGGGAAAAACAGAGCCTCGTTAGTGCCACCCCAAATCCCGGGAGGAGACACCGCAGGGAAACCCTCAGTCCCAGGGAAAAGGGTGGGGAAGGAATTGGGGCAGCGTTTGGAGCCCTTGGGATTGGTACCCACGGGAGAAGGACAGGGAGGGCAAATGGCGCGGGAGAGCCCCGAGCTCCTGCACCCCTCCTGTGCATCCCAAATCCCATCTCAGCTCCCATCCCCCATCCCCCATCCCATCCCAAATCCCATCCTCCATCCCAAATCCCATCCCATCCCAAATCCCATCCTCCATCCCCCATCCCATCCCCCATCCCAAATCCCACCCCAAATCCCAGTTCCCACCCCAGCTAGCTCCCATCCTACATCCCATCCCACATCCCAGCTCCCATCCCAAATCCCAGCTCCCACCCCACATCCTGGTTCCCATCCCAGTTCCATGCCAGCTCCAATTCCAGTTCCAATCCCATCCCCCATCCCATCCCCCATCCCAGTTCCCATCCCAGCTCCAATTCCAGTTCCAATCCCATCCCCCATCTCGGTTCCCACCCCAGCTCCAATCCCAATTCCCACCAGCCTCCACGGATTAATTTTTGTCATTTTTTAACCAACARAGGCTCCCATTTTTCCAGTTTCTCCCATCCCAGCACAACCCCAGCTCCTCAGCCCAAGCACAGGGCAGGAAGAGGATGAAATTCCCACTTTTCCCCAGGAATGCCAGCCCCGTGTGAGCCCCCG